AAAGACCAACCTTTGGCCCTCCCAAGGGGGAGAACACAGCGGCACGGCCATGGTGTGTCCACGGCGAGCATGGGCTAGTGGCGTAGGAGCTCACCGTGGTGGCGGGGTAGGTAGGATGGTGGTACAGTGGCGAGTTGAGGCCGTGGCAAGTCAAGCAGTGTAGGAAGAACCGTGACGTTGTTGTAGTCGATCGAGGTGGCGTCCTCCGCTTCGGTGACTCCGGCGGCGCTCCAGTGGCTCAGTCCTCCTCCTTTCCTCTTCTCCCTCCTTCTCCCTTCTCCAGACTTGGGCTTGCTAGGTGGGTAGCCATAGAGTGGCGATGGGAGATGGGAGAGCGCTAGGGCACCGGAGGAGGGGTTCTTATAGCCAGGCGGTAGCCATGGCGCTCGGTGGATGGTAGGGAGAGGTAGGAGGCCACGTGTAGGGTGATTAAGCCCCCTAGTCTAGGGTTTTAGGGCGTGCAGGGTGGTTGCGCGCCCGCTGGCGCTCCCAATTTGAAACCCCAACGGTCAAAATGGTGAACGGGGCGGCATCAGCAGTGCGGGACCATGGTGGCGATGTCAGCATGTGCGGCGTGGGCTAGGGGAGGCACGGGGGTGCTGTGAAACACGGACGTGGCGTCCAACTATGCACCCTCGTCCAATGGCTTGGAAACGGGCGATGGGGATGCGGGGCAAGGCCTCAGATGCTCGCCGGTGAGGTGCTCTACCTTTGCGGTGAAAAAGCAGAGGAGGGGAAAGGTGGGGGATGATAGGGTCCCGCCCATCAGCCACAGGGGGAAGGCGATGGCGTCCGTGTCGCGACGAGGCGCGGGAGTGGGCCATTGCCAGGCCACGCGGCCATGCGCGCACGAGTGTGGGTGCCCGGGGGGGGCCTAGGCCATGTCTGCTGTGCTGGCAGCGGCGGGTTGGCTTGCTTTGGCCTTTTCCCATTTTTTCCTTTTTCTAAACCCTTTTCTATTTCCTATTTCCATTCTATGCTATACCTTGGGCTCCTATGCACGTATACATGTGTTGTCAAGCATGTACACATCCTTATGGGGTCCACTAGGGGTCAACTAGGATATTAGGGTCAATGCCAAGGGTTGGCATCACACACACAACAAGTTTGCTAAAAGGTTTACATGATTTTATTTCATCACAGAAAATCATGAAGAAGCAACTCACAATTTGTTTAATATGCAAATGCTCAATCATGCTAAATTGGGATCTACTTGTGCAACTACAAGGGCGGTTTCCTAGTATGCACACTCACCATGCATGGGTTTTGTTAGAAAAACATTTTAAGTTTAGATTTTTGGTTCTTTGAAAACCTGGGTTGTTACATGACCTATGTGGTAAGTATTCTTGTAGTTGCATCATATTATTGCATCATGTGCTTTTTTTGCCATGAGCATATGCATCGAGCTAGGTCGGTGAGAAAGTCATATAACTATTCCGGAGTGCTCTTGAGGCAGGTTGGTGAGAAAGTTATATGACTATTCTGGAGTACTCTTGTGGATTATGTCGTTGGCTATGCTCACGATCGTACCGGTACAACATCGTACGTTGCAAGAGGACGGGTATGATGCAGCTTCATACCTTGTTGGTATGGAGATCGTGGACATGCATATGCATTGCATTTGCACTCTTTGAAGGTTATGTGTATTGAAGTTTTATGTTGGCATGAAGTGGATATGAGGAGGATTATTTCTATTTATATGAGGAGTATTGTTTCATTTATAATATGAGGAGTATTGTTTAATTCATGTATGGAGGTAGTTCATTTATTTTATATCATGTCCTTATTTTCTTTATGGAAACTTTGTTGGATTAATAATCTTATCATGAACCTTTTATGTATAATAATAACATGTATTCTTCTATGATTAAATTGATGTCTAATTAAATGAATGACATGTTTAGACAGTTTGCTTGCTGAGATTTATTCTCACCCCATTATGTTTTTCAGGTGCTTGATTTGGATGCTTTGGTTGAAGGGAGGGAATTAGTGGCACATCTTCACTGTTTCACCCACTATTAGAGATAATAAAGATGTTTTTGACTTGCTGTAATAAACTAGTTTATCAGTCATGGAGATCCTTCGTGGTGTAAAGAAAACATAGCGATAAAATTTATCTTAATCATAGTTTTGTTCTTATCGTTGCTTCTACATTTACTTTGATAAATGGGTTTTGATGGAGTTTTCACGATCTGGCATGTAGGAAGGGACGTTAGTAACATCTTGGGATTTTGTGGCACCTAGGTGTTACCGTTGGTATGAAAGCCAGTTTTAGATTCTCCAAAAATAAGGATTAATTTAACACACTTGCACATATAAGTCGGGTATGAGTTTGTTTATCATTGCATATACTTTGTTGTTACTTGTTTATAATTGTTTTCTTAGGCTATGAATTGCATGAATTTGATGTGCTTGCCTTTTTGTGTTTATCGTGGTTGTAGCTATGCCTATTGAGATTGGGATGTTTGCTTTTGCTTAACTTTCCTTGATGTTTATGTTATGTATCATTGCTATTGTTAATTTTGAGTCAAGTGCAAATTTTATTGGCTTTGTTTACATAACCTTTATTTGGTGTTGCCATATGTTGTATATGTTTAAATATGATCTATAATTCGTATGAGTTATCCTTACAAACATATACTTGTCTAGTTTTTGCCCCCATGATGTTTGTTCCTAACTATACCTTTAAAGTGTTGTAGTTTGTAGTGCTTGAGTAGTGATGATGGTGAAATATTCTATATGTTTTTGTTGATAGCAAAAGGATTTGGAAACATGTAAAGTAGCTATAGTCTCGTAGTGCAGATGGACGGAGTGGAGGGCCCCCATAATGCTTTTTCTACACTACTACGTGAGGATTGACCGAGAGATAGGTTGCGACCCAACTCTCCATATTTGAAGAAAATAGTGGAATGACGGGTGGATTGGCCCCCATGCCGTGCACTCTTGCTAATTTCCTCGACATAATGATTGGTGGATTGTTGTGTGACTTGTCCTATATGTTGATCAGAAACAAATATTTGAGCTCAAAATGACTTACCTAGGTTCAATCTAAACCTAGGGACTTGCAGTTTTGGAAAGGTTTGCTAAAGGTCCTGGAGGATTTTCTGAGGTGTGGGTTTTTCAAAATAAGAGATGGCTCGCAAACCAGATTTTGGGAATACACATGGGTAGACTCTACACCCCTAGAAGAGCAATTTCCTAGCCTATACAACATAGCCAATTGTCCGCGCAACCGTGAAGACGGTCATGAATCAAGTGCCTATTAATGTCCCTTTTCGTAGAGCACTAACTGAGGATAAATGGATGGCTTGGCTTAACTTAGTAGCTAAAATAGCCAATGTTCAACTTTCCAATGAGAGGGATATTTTTAACTAGGGCCTACATAATCATGGTCACTTCTCTGTACGGTCAATGTATGCGTACATGACAAACCAAGGTACTCTCTTTACTAATAAATTCATTTGGAAATTGAAGCTTCCCCTTAAGATAAAAATCTTCCTTTGGTACCGCCAAAGAGGTGTTATCTTAACAAAGGATAATTTAGCTAAGAGGAACTAGACTACTAGCCAAAAGTATTGTTTCTGTGATCACAATGCAACAATAAAGCACCTTTTTTTATTGTTGCCATGTGAAAACTATTTGGAATATTGTTCATATTGCTACTGGGTTAACCCCACCTAGATCTACTACTCACATGCTTGGAGGCTGGCTCACGGGCATGGGGAGGGAGGATAAAACATAGATTTTTGTGGGAGGTGGTATTATTATTTGGGCAATTTGGTGTACTCGTAACAACATTGTTTTTGAGAAAAAACAAAATATTTCTTTTATGCATGCTATTTTCAAAGGAGCATATTGGTTGCGATTCTAGGCGCTCCTACAGCTTGAAGATAAAAGGGAGACGTTTCGATATGCAAGCAAAGCATTGGAGGTTATCGCTCTAGATGTGTTTGCCAAGAATGGATGACAAAGTAATAATAGACTTTGCTTATGATTTTCTCCTATTTGAGTACACAATTTCTCTTTATCTTGGGGAGCAAATAAGCTAACAACATTGTAATACATGGCTGTCTGCCATCGCAGAGGCTGGAATTTTTCTGTTTTCTAAAAAAATATTTGAAAACTCTGAACAAATTAAAATTAAAAAACATAGAACTAGAAAGTTTCATATCTCTTGGAGTACAATAACTTAGGTTTAGGTTATTTCTCCATCCGAGGTTAATTTGAAACAATAAAAAAGTATAAATTTAAAAATCATTAATCTTAAAACTAAATTTCCAGGACCTAAATGATTTCAAATGGAAAGATTATCAACTACAAAGTTACATAACTCTTCGTGTACTACAATTTAGCTTAGGTCATTTCTCCATCCAAAATACTTTTTGAAAATCAACAAAATAAATTTCAAATTCTAAAAACTTAAAACAGAATTTTGGGACATGAAATGATTTTAAATAAAAAAGTAATCAGCTACGTAGCTTTAAATCCGGCAAAGGATCATCGAATGCCCTTATAGGCGGAGTGAGATTGAGTAGCATCTATTTCAATAACCAGTATATAATTTAAAATTAATGACAGTTGTCATCCAGCAAAGGATCATCGAATGCCCTTATAGGCGGAGTGAGATTGAGTACCATAAATGCACGTATTTGTTGGTGATGCATGCATGCACCCATGGACGTACGTCGTCAACAAAGTGGATCCGATGCGAGTTATTTGTCCGCAGGTAGATATGGGCAGCAGACAGAGCAAGGGGTGATCAACTTGGAACGGCATTAACTCTTTAAGACTGCAAAGCCGGTGCCAGATTTTGGTAGCTCCTTCATCACTACTAGCTAACAGCGGCACTTAACTTCTGCCGCATCCGAATGCTTGGATTCAGCAGCTCGATCCTATATAAACCCAGGACGGCTCCTTCTTCATTCATCTCCATCAATCCACTGGTACCTAGTTAATTCTTGTGATCTAGCCGGAAGAACAAGCCAAGCTTTCCGTTTGCCATGGGGGCTCTGCCTCGCTGCCTGCTTGCTGGCATCTGCGCCGCCGTCCTGTTAGCGGCAGTGGTCGCCCATGGTGCGGAGCCCGAGACGGCGTCAATGGTCGTCGGCTTGGCCAAGTGCGCCGACTGCTCCAGGAAGAACATGAAAGCTGAGGCGGTATTCAACGGTGCGCTGATATAATTTGTGTATATGCTACTGCCCTCCTACCATTTTTAGTTTTGCATTTTTTCTGGGCAAACTTATATATTGTTTGGTTCCTTGTTCAGGCCTTCAAGTGGCTGTCAAGTGCAAGAACGCCGACGGCGTGTTCGTGACCAAGGCCTTGGGCGAGGTTGACAAGTCCGGCGCCTTCAGCGTCCCCCTCGCGGCTGACCTGCTCCGCGAGGACGGCGAGCTGAAGCAGGACTGCTTCGCGCAGCTCCACAACGCAGCCAACCAGCCATGCCCCGGACAGGACCCGTCTTGGATCGTCGGGCCAACCAGCGACAGCCAGTACGACGACGACAAGATGAAGAAGACCTTCGTCGCAGTCGCCGGCAAGGTGCACTACCCATCCAAGGAGTGCGCCTCTGCGTTCCTCTGCTACCATTTCTTCAAGAAGCACCTCTTGCACAAGAAGCCCATCGTGATTATCCCTCACATCCAGAAGAAGCCGGTGCCAGAGTACAAGCCACCGACAACGACGACGCCTGTGCCGGTGTACCACTCGCCCGTGCCGGAGTACAAGCCACCCCACCCGACGCCGACTCCGATCTACCATCCTACAGCTGAGCACAAGACCCAGAACCCTGAGACGGACCCTGAGAAGTTCAAGAAGCTCCTCCCCTTCATCAAGAAGAACCCCTTCTTTCCCAAGTTCCCCAAGTTCCCTCCGGGCAAGGAGGAGATCAAGGCGTAGAAAAATGGGTGAGAGACGAAATGTACTGCGTTCGTCTGCATCTACTGTTATGTAGTGTCTGCTTGCATGGATTATCATTACCTCTTTTTGTTTCTTGACAGTGTTTGTCAGCTCTCATAGGCCAGCTGGCCTCCCGCTAATACAAATAAAACTTTTGTTCTGAGCACATAAACCTCGATGAAACATGAATGCGATTATTTGGTGTAGGGTTTCTGGGTTAGGCATGACTTATATATGGTCGATCTGTCTCACAGACATATTTTTTTTATATGTAGTACACATGCAGCCTGTTCGTGATCGTATCGTGGATTATTTACTGCTGGCTGGTTTGGTGTGAGAGAAAAACATTGTTCTCGGCTGGAAATTTACGATCGTTACGATCGTTTACGAGCAAGCGAACAGGCTGATGGTATTTATAGACTGTGCTTGCGAAGGCCTCTGCATGCCTTTCTAGTAGTGAAGATAGAAGATTTGGTTAGATTTCAGAGTGTAGTCTTAGTTCAGATTTCAGAATTGAGACAGCACTCTGCCATACTACGCAACATGGTTGAATTGGAACCTACAACTACAAGGGGACATTGCTTGCTCTTCAGTACCAAGGTACAACGCATTTGTAAGTTGTCATATGGAACCGAAACCTAGGTATATAGATGGCAAAATGGGCCAAGCCTGATGGGCTGGCACAGGCACGGTCCGAAAAAGCACTGCACGAAGGCCATAGTGCCAGTGCCGGCACGGCACGGTCATAGTGCCATGCCTGAGCCGCAACCTTGGCCCGCAGGCACGGCACGAGCACTGCACGACTTTTGGGCTAGCACGATGTGGCACCATGTTTTTCGATCATTCGATTCTCTCTAGGTGAATCTCAATCGTTGGATCAACAATGAGTATCATATATAAAGGTGACTTCCTTCAAAACCCCAATTCCCCACCCCTGCTTCCGCCGACTCCCAAGTCCCGAGTCCGTCCGAACTCCCGTCCCTTTCACACGGCGTGGCTTCCCCCGCCTCCCCTGGCCATGCCTACGGACGCCCGCCCACCCGCTCCACCCTCTTCTTCCCCAGCCGCTCCACTCCACCTCCATCCTCCCTGCGACCCTGCCTAGGACGGTCGCCGCTTCCAACCTCACTCTCGGCCGCATCGGCGTGACGACCTTGCTTGGTGGCAGCACGATGTCTTGCACGAGGCGCAGCGGCGGTGGCGCAGCAGCTTGCACCTCGGCATGGCTGCGGCGGCGTGCGTCCTCGCGGTGGCCTCGCTCAACTGCGGCGGCGTCAATTCGATCCTTGGGCGGAGCCGGGCTTGTGGAAGCATGCCGGGCCACCGTGCTTGTCGGCATGGCACGGCACGACAAACAAGCTATAGGGTCGTGCCTGGGCCAAGGCTTCGGCATGGTAGCACGATGCAGCACGGCACGGCTATGGCATTGTGCCCAAAAGTGCCATGCCCAATAGTGCCATGCCTGGCAGTCCTCGTGCCCGTTCCGTGCCATGTGGCCCGGTTGGCCATGTATACCTGACTGGGTAAATAAAAAGGAGTGTCATCGTAGCAAGCAGAGAGTAGAAATGAGAATCACTATTAAATTGAACATAAAACAACACTTGACTAGTACTATTAGTTGAGTTCATAATCTGAAAATCAACAACTTATCTCTGAACAAGCAAATCTTTCACGTCCCTAACTACGTAACTTACACGGATAGTACCCCATGTACCAACAGTTCATAATAGCAAGCTAAGCAACGTCTAAAAGATATGTGTTGACACTCAAAAATGCCCCGAGGTGGATTATAGGCATCTCCAACAAGTTATATACATCATATACGTGTTGCACAACCACAAAACAGAATAGCCTTGGGGGTTGAAAACCCTCAAGCAAGGAAAGCAGTAAGACCACCAAGGAAATAACTCCTGGCAGCCAACAACACTCAAGGAAAGACCGCCAAAGGTAGAGTGTTAGGGAAATAGCTATTACCTTAAGGGCCGGCCGCTACAAATCAATTCCTTGAGGGTTGAACCACCATGAAAACAAATAAGTGGTCAGATTTTCAACACCGTCAAGGAAATGTAACAACATGTCGACACAGAATTTTTGTCTCCGTGCCGAGGACACACGCAGCAAGCCGGAAGGGTCCGCTCGATGGAGCAGATCCGCCTAGCTTCAGCGCAAGGGTGGTCGATCCTACGCAATCCTCCTGAGACGTGCTAGTCAATTTGACCCTGCAATTGACAAGGAGAGAAAGTTTATCAGTAATTAAGGGTGGAACATGCCGGTGTTGCCAGACAGTCCCGAATGTGCGGCTCTGAGAGCCGATATGAGAGGAGATCAACTAAATAGTCGATTCCAGCATATTCAAAAGAATAAATTGGTTAAAGCTTATGGGGTTGTGTAAGAAGAATCCGTTATCATTCAGAATAAATATCATTTAAGCAAACATTAATCAATGGCAATAAGATATCGATGATGGTCGGTTTATGCTAAGCCAATGATTACAAGTAACCGAACTCCTGTTTATATAAAGAAACAATTCAACACCACTTAACCATCAAATAAAGATAAATCTAATGAACATGTTAGATCTTATCTATCGCCATGACCAGTGGGGCATGAGGTAGAATCATGCAGGCCATAGAAACAACAATAGACTCGACGACCCTAACTCATTACTAATATCAGTGGGGCATGAGGCAGAATCATTCATGCCATAATACAATAACAAGATCATGGGGCTAACATATCTTTCAACTTATCTCTACTTCAATGATCTCGTAATGTGATCTATTCGTGAGAGCGCTCGATATCGGCTAAATAGCCGATTCAGGCATAGCGCACAGTTAAGGTCATGCCTTCTCAGGAACGGATCTATCAACTAACGATCCCCACTCCATGGTTGTAACAGAACCGACCAAATCATAAGAACATAAGTACAAAAACAATCACCGAAGTGATCAAATTCCTGTACTTAAGCTCCCATAATCCCGGTAGTCCAGAAATCACGAAGGATTTCAACCAACTCTCGACATACAAACCAAGACCATAGTGATTCAACACAACACATCATCCGTTACAACATTTCATACGTAGCATTCGGATTACATCCATCAGAGTGCGAATAAAATATTACAAACCAGGTTCAAATTTGCGGAAGCAACATAGTTTAGTACATAACTTCATAGTTTCAAATACATTGCCAAGTCTGAGTCATGTCCCACAAAAACATTATCAGGTACGAGAACTAGTAGAGACCGCGCCCAACGGTCTAGTCTTCATCCCCAGCTGGGAGAAGGCAGTACTTGCAGCAACCAAAGTAGAACTGATCATCTACAACAGGTGGGAGATAAACCCTGAGTACGAGAAGGTACTAAGCTAGACTTACCCGACAAAACTAGAAATAAAAGACACCAAGGATCATGCAAGGCTTAAGAGGTGGGCTAGCTTGACACAGTTGCATAAAAGAGCTTATGATTATAGTAACCAATTTAAACTTAGCATCAAACTTATCATCATTTACATGTCCACTAGGCTAGCACCTGTACTAGAGCACTCACTTATTAGGAGCAAACAATATTAACCATATCAGGTATAATAAGGCTGTCATCATCATATCATCATTTCTGAACCATTATGTTATTAAGTGTATCTACATTGGAGATAATCCGTCAAGTTCTCACTAACCGGGAGAGACGGCGACTCGAATCGAATTACAACTCAGCTGAGGGGGTATTCCTAACTCTCACCCTGGCATACTTAGCAAGGGTAGCCATGGGTCACCTTTGGAACAACTCAGGAACCAAATTCACGGGTTCGATCAGCACTAGCACTCTCAGGGATTACCCTTCTGCCAGGACGATCAGGACTTTTCAATCACCTGCCCTTGGACTCACACCTACGGCTCCCTTCCGAGGCGCACTTTATACTTATCGACTCCCGGCCTGAGGTGAGCTACTCGGCTTCACGGTCGGTCATCGGACACGGCCAACTAAGAGAGAGGCATGCGTTCAACATGAATAGGAAAGGCTCCAAGATTCAGTCCTTAATCGACACAGACGGAGTCACTGCAAACCGGCAAGCCTCCGTCTGGTCTTCATTTCAAATTAAGACTGGTTCTTTTCCATGATAGCAAATATAGCCAACCGTGCCATATGTATCTTCCTATATCTCGCAAGTGACAGGAAATCACCCGACTTCTACCGCATTTGAGCAGGGCTAAGCACTACACGAGCCTGAGCTACATAGGATTCAGGGTATCAATATCTGGACAAGGATTG